CAACCAAATTTTCCATGGGTTTTAATTCAGTTCTGTTTCACTTTTAGGAATCAAGAGTCTCAACATTCAAACTGTCTTGTAACACTGATGAACTTACGTGTGGGTATACACTGATTAAATTGATGTCGCCATGTTAAACTGTGACCGTAGTTAAACTGATGTGACAGTCATAATTCAGCAATTTACCGTTCTGCCCTCTGATTTTAGTGGCTTGTTGGATTAACCTACTTTAATCTGAATCCTGAATTATGTATGCATGATATTATAGTATGGTAAACTATTGATACAGGCTATTCCTTCATAGAGGCTTAAAGCTAAAGATTAATTCAAACAGTCTGTATGCAGAAGTGATGACTCCTGTATTCTCTCTACTTGTTCTCTCCCCCTCTGTGCTTGGTGCATAATATTCCTAGGACAAGGATGCTTTTCAATCTTCATCTACATCTTTTCAGCCTAACAGCTGCAAATGCGGTACATTCTGTTTCAGTTCCAGGCTTTATCCTACACCAAAAGCAAGAATAAAATTAAAGTTACTTATAAAAGAAGATACATATTTGCATCTTATAGTTGAAGGCTTTAGCAGAGAAGAGGGACTGAATACCTAGCCTTTCATATCAATGTTTTTCACAACGCACAGAAGTTATCTTAAAAGAGATTTGTTTTGTGCTAATAAAAGTCTGCTGAAATGAGGGCACCCAAATCCAACATTTTCTGTTTGTTTGTTTATTTATTTATGGGTAGAAACATATGCTACTCACCTTCCCTGCACAGCCCAGTCATTCACCTTCCCTGACCTCGGAGAATCTCCGTGGCCACCTCCACTACCCTCCCCTCAGAGCAGCTCAGCTTTCTGACCATCACACTGTTATATTAGGTATTACAGGTATAATAGGTATTACAGCTAGAGCAGGTATTACTATAATACCACATCCTTCTTAATTACCACGTCTGCCTCAAAACACTTAAAGCCCCTGCATAACTCCCTTACCCAGCCTATGTCTCTGTTAGCAGAGACCCTACACGCTCGTTTCAAACGGGAACGCGAGGCAGGCAGGCCACAGCACCAGCGGTTGCAGGCTCCAGGCTCACAACGGGCACAAGGGGATAAAGGGCCCCACGTTGCCTGCACAGGGGCAATTGCCACCAAGCCTCCCCTCACACGAACCTGGTACCGCCACAGGGCTCCCACCACAGGGCTCCCACCACCACCACAGAGGCCGCAGCCCCCCAGCCCACCGGAGCCCACCACCACAGTCCCCTCCATCGCCTCCACAAGCGTCGACAACCACCACAGCCCCTCTCCTCCCTCCGACCGCCCCAGGGCCCTTCGCCACCTGCGGGGCCCAGCCGCCGCCTCGGGGCCGAACCGCCTCCGCAGCCCGCCACCGCCTCCGCAGCCCGCCCTTC